AAGAAAGTACGTACCTCCCCGTACCACCCGCAGACTGACGGTATGGTTGAACGTCTGAACAGGACGATTACGTCTATGCTGTGCCAACAGGTATGCGACGACCAGGTGGATTGGGACTTACAGGTACCGGGGGTACTAGCGGCCTATCGGATGGCACCCCATGCGGCGACGGGGTTTTCTCCATTTTTTCTGATGTATGGGCGGGAGGCTGATCCGGCCATGGACGTCCAACTGGGGATTTCACAGCCACGTGCGAAATCTAAATTGGCAGACCACATTAAGTTTAACATCGCCAAATTGGCTGAGGCGCGAGAGGCTGCGAGATTGAATTCATGCTCTCGGCAGATCGCGAACGAGCGATTGCATGAACGGAAGGTGCATACGCACAATTGGGAACCGGGCGATAAGGCCTGGCTGCATTGTCCACACGCACCGTTGGCTACGTCCCCCAAACTGTTGAGACCATGGAGGGGACCGGTGGAAATTGTGCGGGTTGCACGACCCCAGAGTATACAGATTAAATGGGGAAAACGCCGTTGGTACGTGCACTCCTCCCGACTGAAACCCTACGCGGCGCCGCGTGACCCCGGGTTGTGCCGTGACGACCGAGCGTGTGATGTGACCGTCGACTCGGGGAGGGATGTGTCGCAGGCTGATCCTCACGTGTCTCCACCTGACCCACCCCCAGGTGTCTCGGACCTGACGGCTGTTGACCGTCGGGAACCGGAACCCCGCGGCTCGCACGGAGCCCCGATGCCTGGCCCATGCCTTCCTGAACTGCCGGCGCTGCCGGATGGCCAACTGCGTCCTGTGCCGTACGACGGTCCGGCAAGGCGGACTCGGTCAAGGACGCAACACTTTTCATGAAAAAAAAAGAAAAAAAATTCTTTTTTTGTTAAAGCCCGACTTCGTTGCCGGCTTCCCCCTCTGCCGGGGTAATGTCCCGTTCAAGGGACGCTCGGACATTGGGACGCTGCATGAGTCGGAGAGAAAAGAAGAGAAAATGATTAAATTTTTTTTTTTTATTGTTACTCTTTCCGCATACACAGTATCGTTGCCACTCGCTGGATTGTGCATGTTGTTCTTGTTGCGGGTGTGGCGGTTGCTGGGTTTTGCGGATTGCGGTGTTCATGTTGTGTTGTTAGGGTTTGTGTTATGTTACGGGGCACACATGGGAGTGAAGGGGTGTTGTATGTTTTATTAGCAGCCGGGTCGGCTGCGAGCTATGTGGTAGGGGGTGATGTAGTGGTGGTATTGACGTGCGCCGGCAGTGATGGATCACGGGGCGCGGGGTTGGGCACGCGGTGTGGGCGTGGCATGGACGCGCGCGCCGGTGGTGAGGCGCGCTCACACAAGCTGGGAAAAGAGGATCGTAGCGAGTGCGCAGTGATTGGTCAGATAAGTGAGTACTCTCAGCGACGTCCGCAGGAGGGGTATAAAGGGGGACGCGCGAGAGCACTCGTGGTCAGTGTTAACCAGTTGAAGACCGAAGACGGGGTGGAGGAGGTAGGGGCCCTGTGTGGCTCGGAGCCGAGACTGGGGGGACCGTAGTCCGACGCCCGTGTGGGTCGGGACGGTGGTACCCAGAGCCGAGACGGGCACCCCGGCTGGGTGTGTCCCGGAAGGCTACGGGGCGTAAGAGCCCGTGTCAGTACAGCTGAGTGGGTGTTGGTCACCCGTGTAGCTGAGTGGGTGTTAGTCACCCGTGTAGCTGAGTGGGTGTTGGTCACCCGTGTAGCTGAGTGGGTGTTAGTCACCCGTGTAGCTGAGTGGGTGTTGGTCACCCGTGTAGCTGAGTGGGTGTTAGTCACCCGTGTAGCTGAGTGGGTGTTGGTCACCCGTGTAGCTAAGTGGGTGTTGGTCACCCGTGTAACGAAGTTGTAGCTGAGTGGGTGTCCGTCACCCGTGTAGCTAAGTGGGTGTTGGTCACCCGTGTAACGAAGTAGGGTGTTAGTCATCCGTGTAACTACAAGTTGGTGAAAATAAAGAGTGTGCTACCCGTGAAGTCGTCTCCTGCCGAGTTACTACTTTACATAGATAATAAAGAAGTTCAAGTGAGGTAATTGGTTTGGCGCAGGCCTCAGATGTTTTCACGATGTTTGATCAGTCATGTTACGACATGTTTTTGTATTGTTCATGTTCGTGCAATTTGTTAAATTGCCTTGCAAATAAATGCTTTGCTACCTGTTAAAGGCCAAATCCTTTCATGTAATGATTTTTACATGTCATTTATATTAGTTCACACAAACACTCCATCCACCTGTTCCTGGCCCGGCCCCTCTGTCAAATTTTAGAACCCATTGTGGCCCGCGAGTTAAAAAGTTTGCCCACCCCTGGCCTAGTCTCATATGGTGTTCGACCAGATGATGCCAAAAGGCGCAGTTCAAAGACAACTCGCTATCCGAGTAATGAGAGCTCGGGGTAAGCATCTACATCATGAGGCCTCCTTTGCCAGTACCAAAATATACTAATAGGGTTTTTCCCCTTTTTCAAAATTGACTGCAAGTATTGTGGTTAATGTAAACAGGATTCCTTGCAAAAGGTGTCAGTTTTGTTGCCAGAAAAAGGGGAAAACCCCTATTAATTAGAAACTAAATCTCTGCATTCTTAATTAATGCATATAGTGCCATAAAGAGGCTTGGGGCTTTGGGTTGTTAATTGATTAAATAATCAATGCCTCTGCTCACATTATTTGAGGATTTGTATGATTTTGGGCAGCCCTGTCTAAAGCTGTGTGACCAGGAGTCGGAGCAATTTCCTGTTCAACTTGGCTTATAACATAAATTCACCCTGGCCCCATGCATTACATTACATAGCATCTTCAATAACTATGTAGTTTGATAAGCACCCAATAGTCGTTTCAAAACCATTGCATTCGTTAGGGTTACAATGATACACGAATCGATGCCTGGTTATAGTTGAAGGATCATTCCCTGTTGGTCAACCATGTTACATCTGCTGTAAGTTAGTTAATTTAGTGTGTCTCTCTCCCTGCCTCCTAATTTTTTCAAGCTTTCGTACCGTACCACTCATCGTGCTACTCATTGACATGCTAATTTCTCTAACCCCTCTCTCTCCGCCCCTGCCCCCCTCTCTCAAGCTTTTTACACCTTGCCACTCACCGTTTCCACTCATGGACATGCTAATTTCTCTAACCCCTCCCACTCTCCCCGCCCCCGCCCCTTTCTCTATTTAAGGCCTCGACACAGAGGCATAGTTTCTTTTTGTGCCTATGTTTGCTCTCTCTCTATGTATCTCTGTGATATCTGTCTGCTTATATGTCTGTCTATGTTTCCGGTTCTGTGTTTAATCTCTCTTTCAAATTTAGCATTCTCAGGAAGAACGTAATCAACCAGATAGGGTGTTGACTGTTATGTTATCCGACTCTCTGTTGTATTACACTACATTTCTAAGTATACTAGATTTGTGTTTCTATTTAATTTATACCTAATGATGATTGCTTGTGTTGCAATCGAAACATCATATGCTAGTTGTTGTGTCTATACCCTTTTTTAAAATTAATATTAAGAATAATTCTGCCAACATATATAATATTTTTTTTAATAGACACAGGGCAACTGGAAGCGAACAAAGACGAGCAAAAACCCGTTCCCCCACTTCCACAGATGCGTGCACACCTCGCTTCAAAGGCCAGAAGGCAGGAAAGAGACAGCCATCAAATGTCATAAAACCTCCCAGAATTTCACACAAAAGAGGGGGAGGGGGGAGTTGCAAGCGGGAGTTAGGATAACACCCATTCTTCAAAAGGCCCTTTTACAATACAAAAAAACCAGGCGCCACGAAATATATATAAAATGATATTCTTAACAAAAAATAGCATTGACAACAAGAAAACAAGACGGGTTTTGAACCATGTTAAGTTAAACAAAGTTACCAACTTAGCCATGAAGATTAAGCAAACATTATCTATCCTCGCTCCAATTGGAAACCAGACTACAGTCTGCACCAGGGTCGTGAATCCTCATTTGTTAATTCAATACTGACATTATTTACCGTTAATAATTTTCTACGAATACGGGCCGAAGCATTAAAGAATAATTATGGCAGTCAGGGCCGCTCAAAAAAAAAAAACATTCCCTAGCCCCGGGATATCAGATTAAATAATAAGAAGTCAAATAATAAGTACGAAATTAGAGTGGGTCTCCTAGGAGAGTTAAGGGCGGAGAAGTCTATCATAATTAACCAACACGCAACACTCCAGGGGAAGCGAGCAGCTCACAGCCGTCTTTGTCTTCCCGAGAGGAACGACCACAGAGCAGGCACACAGCCAGGAAATGGCCCTCATAAAAGTTTGTGGCGAGCGGGCGATGGCTCGAGAAAGGAATTAACAGAAGCAGATGCTCTTAAAAAAATAAACACGCGCAGGGTGCTCCAACGACGGAGCACAGCCGTCTTTGTCTCCCCGTAGCACGGACAGCAAGATTTGTGCACGCGAGCAAATAACATTTCCCCATAGGGAGATCAAACCACGATGAAATACCGTGAACACGGTTACTTACAATCAAATCACAATAATACTAAGCAGCAAAGTGAGTCGTTTTAACTTCCAAACCAAACGAAGCGGTGTGAGACAGGGATAAACGCCCAGAGCGGGGGAGGGGATTTTAGAGCTCGCTTAACGCGTAGGCTTTCGCGACCAATATTATTCATAATCAAAAACGTGGATTATGATTTTGCCACCTCGGTGCGAACGCGAATCTCGGTCTGGTTTAGTTTGATGACTCATGTGACGCCGGTTCGCGAGGAAGCCCCCACCCCTCCTTCCAGAATTATTGCGGGCAGCTGGGTCTTGGAAGCACACTCAACACACACGGACAGACACACACACGGCACACGGACGCAGATGTGTCCACCCCCACAACGAAAAAGTTATATGGTCTGGCCTTTGAACAACTCGGAAAAACTGAGTGGATTTTCTCAATATAAGCCGAGGCAAAATCCATTCAACACAGATCTCTCCGGGGCTCCGGCCCCCACAGATCACCGGGGCTCAGGGCCCCCATCTCTCACCAGGGCTCCGGACTCATCTCATCTTAACGCTGACAACGAAGAAGCTCTTCCGTCATCCAGAATGACGATGTTCGCGGGGTAGCGACGTACATCGACAAGCTGAGGTCTGCACCACCTAAGAAGAATCGCTACCCTGAGTCACCGAGCTGCGAGTGAAGCTGACGGAGATTCCAGCTATAATTCTCATGAGAGAACTTAAACAACGAAGCCCCTGAAGTGAGGGCGGGAGAGGCATCAGCGAGTGCCCGTATGAAGCTGGCAGCTGCACGAACAAAGGAAAGCACGGAGAAGAGAAAGTGACAAGTGAAAACAAGCAATCAACCTGTAGAAAGGGTGGAAATTGCCAAGCGTCGACCAAGCGAGCATCTAAAAGGACGAGCAGCAGCGGATAAGCAACAAGAGCCATCTTCCATCGCCAGAGCGCTCCAAGCCGGTGAGCGCGCACAGCCGTGTCGTCCAGAGCCTGAGCCAACACAGCCTGAAGTAAGGGCGAGTGTCCGTGTGAAGTTGGCAGCGATCAAGGAGAGAGCGACAGCAGCACGCCGACCCGGGCGTCAACGAGCGTCGTGCCGAATCAACAATCATCCAGCAGTGGAGAAGCCTGGAGCTGCCACCAAGAGAGAGAGAGAGCGCCATCGAATGCGCCGTGTGTTTGATGCACACACCGACCAACACCTAGTGAGAACAGACAAGACGTCCAGCAGCGACGACGGAATCATCGCGCACCACGTCGGCAAGCGTCGTGCCAACTCAATCGAGCAGTGGAGAGAGGGAGCAGCACGGGCTCGCTGCGGCCACGCCCAAGCGAGAGGAGCTTCTCTGGCTGCTGGTTGTATCTTCCTCCACCCCACAAGCTAACGACACAACTCCCGGCTCTAAGAAAATTGTAATTAATTTTACAAGGGGACAACGCACATACAACACGCACACGAATAAGACTTTCAAAAAGTTATCTTTGCGTTTCAAAAAGGGTTGTCATTTCAAGGTGGTGCGTTCAATATCAACTGATCGTGCAAAGCAGTTGCTGCCGTCGAGTTACTTGAATAAGTGTTTTAGTCATTCATTTTCGTTAATTGCATAATCTTGCTCATGAATTTATTGACGTATGCTTTCGCCTGTGCATGTTAGAATATCACAGGTTTGTTTAGAATAAAATTGTTAACACAGAAGTATCTCGAGTGTTTCTTTCCAAATCCATGCAAAACTGTCTTATTCATAAGAACTGTATCCTGCGATGAGATATGAAATTGGAGACCTAACGTAACATAAACACACTAAGATAATCAGTAAATGTTTAATCAATGATAATCGTGTTATCCTGATTGATACAACTCTGGATAAACGAAACTAAGCTTAATTATCATAACTGCATATATTAACATAATCGCAAGCATTCGCATAAATTACTACGATTATCTCTGATTATCATAATTTGTGCATATAATCACACATTAACATAATTTATGCAATTTGCACATTTTTCGAAATTTCATTACTTATTATTATTTTTATAAAAAATTCATAATCCAACATATACAACAAGTATTTAATTTAATTTATTATTTTATCTTTATACGTGACTTTACCGAAAGAACCAAAGAATAATTCCTGTAGTCACGAAAGCTCCAAATTAAGTTTGAACCACTTCTACGGGGAAGTTTAAAGTTAGTTTTTTCTCTCTCTTTCTCTGGGTTTTTTCGTTGTCTCTCTCTGCTTGTGTATCGGTCTTCGTGACTGTGTTTTTTCAAATTTCACACTTAACTTCTAATTTAGCAATCTTTGGAAGAACGTAATCAACCAGGCTATGCGTTAATTGTGTGTTGACGACCCTCTGTGTTGCATTGCATTACATTTCGAAATTTTTGCTAGGTTAGTTAATTTAGTGTGTCTCCCTGCCTCCTAATTTTTTCAAGCTTTCGTACCGTACCACTCATCGTGCTACTCATTGACATGCTAATTTCTCTAACCCCTCTCTCTCCGCCCCTGCCCCCCTCTCTCAAGCTTTTTACACCTTGCCACTCACCCTTTCCACTCATGGACATGCTAATTTCTCTAACCCCTCCCTCTCTCCCCGCCCCCGCCCCCCCTTTCTCTATGTAAGGCCTCGACACAGAGGCGTAGTTTCTTTTTGTGCCTATGTTTGCTCTCTATGTATCTCTGTGATATCTGTCTGCTTATATGTCTGTCTATGTTTCTGGTTCTGTGTTTAATCTCTCTCTCAAATTTAGCATTCTCAGGAAGAACGTAATCAACCAGATAGGGTGTTGACTGTTATGTTATCCGACTCTCTGTTGTATTACATTACATTTCTAAGTATACTAGATTTGTGTTTCTATTTAATTTATACCTGATGATGATTGCTTGTGTTGCAATGGAAATGTCGTATGCTAGTATTTAATTTAATTTATTGTTTTATCTTTATACGTGACTTTACCGAAAGAACCAAAGAATAATTCCTGCAGTCACGAAAGCTCCAAATTAAGTTTGAACCACTTCTACGGGGAAGTTTAAAGTTAGTTTTTTCTCTCTCTTTCTCTGGGTTTTTTCGTTGTCTCTCTCTGCTTGTGTATCGGTCTTCGTGACTGTGTTTTTTCAAATTTCACACTTAACTTCTAATTTAGCAATCTTTGGAAGAACGTAATCAACCAGGCTATGTGTTAATTGTGTGTTGACCGACCCTCTGTGTTGCATTGCATTACATTTCGAAATTTTTGCTAGGTTAGTTAGTTTAGTGTGTCTCTCTCCCTGCCTCCTAATTTTTTCAAGCTTTCGTACCGTACCACTCATCGTGCTACTCATTGACATGCTAATTTCTCTAACCCCTCTCTCTCCGCCCCTGCCCCCCTCTCTCAAGCTTTTTACACCTTGCCACTCACCCTTTCCACTCATGGACATGCTAATTTCTCTAACCCCTCCCTCTCTCCCCGCCCCCGCCCCCCGTTTCTCTATTTAAGGCCTCGACACAGAGGCATAGTTTCTTTTTGTGCCAATGTTTGCTCTCTATGTATCTCTGTGATATCTGTCTGCTTATATGTCTGTCTATGTTTCTGGTTCTGTGTTTAATCTCTCTTTCAAATTTAGCATTCTCAGGAAGAACGTAATCAACCAGATAGGGTGTTGACTGTTATGTTATCCGACTCTCTGTTGTATTACACTACATTTCTAAGTATACTAGATTTGTGTTTCTATTTAATTTATACCTGATGATGATTGCTTGTGTTGCAATCGAAACGTCGTATGCTAGTATTTAATTTATTATTTTATATTTATACGTGACTTTACCGAAAGAACCAAAGAATAATTCCTGCAGTCACAAAAGCTCCAAATTAAGTTTGAACCACTTCTACGGGGAAGTTTAAAGTTAGTTTTTTCTCTCTCTTTCTCTGGGTTTTTTCGTTGTCTCTCTCTGCTTGTGTATCGGTCTTCGTGACTGTGTTTTTTCAAATTTCACACTTAACTTCTAATTTAGCAATCTTTGGAAGAACGTAATCAACCAGGCTATGCGTTAATTGTGTGTTGACAACAATTTGAGTACTCAAATTGTAAATGTTGTGGCTTCAACACACCGGTGGGCTAGAGCAGTGAACTATTTGTCTTTGTCAACGTGACACATTTTTACTGATTGGCCGTGTTGGGTGGTGGAGGGTTACGACACATTTATAAATTAACGCGATCTAAACCCAAAAACGTTGATTATGAATAACATTGGTCGCGAAAGCCTACGTGTTAAAGTGCTACTCATTGACATGCTAATTTCTATAACCCCTCTCTCTCCGCCCCTGCCCCCCTCTCTCAAGCTTTTTACACCTTGCCACTCACCCTTTCCACTCATGGACATGCTAATTTCTCTAACCCCTCCCTCTCTCCCCGCCCCCGCCCCCCCTTTCTCTATTTAAGGCCTCGACACAGAGGCGTAGTTTCTTTTTGTGCCAATGTTTGCTCTCTATGTATCTCTGTGATATCTGTCTGCTTATATGTCTGTCTATGTTTCTGGTTCTGTGTTTAATCTCTCTTTCAAATTTAGCATTCTCAGGAAGAACGTAATCAACCAGACAGGGTGTTGACTGTTATGTTATCCGACTCTCTGTTGTATTACATTACATTTCTAAGTATACTAGATTTGTGTTTCTATTTAATTTATACCTGATGATGATTGCTTGTGTTGCAATCGAAACGTCGTATGCTAGTATTTAATTTAATTTATTATTTTATCTTTATACGTGACTTTACCGAAAGAACCAAAGAATAATTCCTGCAGTCACGAAAGCTCCAAATTGAATCTGAACACCTGTTTTGTTGCCAGAAAACCCTATTATCATGTGTGGAAGGTGTCTAGACTCTGCAAAGCAGAGTGTCCATCGCCAAGGTCTAGTCCAGGGGTCGGCAACCTACGGCTCCGGAGCCGCATGCGGCTCTTTATGGGCTGCTTCTTGACGATATGTACGTGAGTACAGTATGTACTCAGATGCATTGCGGCTCTTGAAATACTGAATTTTGTACCGAATTGGAAAGAAATGGCTCTTCTTGTTATTTTGGTTGCCGACCCCTGGTCTAGTCCATATGAGACAAATTTAAGGCCACAACTTTGCCATTACCCCACGCACAATTCTAGTGGATGAGATCATTGATGAGGTAGAATCCGCAGTAAGATTCCTTCCACATGAGACAGAGATGACTACACACAAGGTTGCCAAAATAATTGAGAATAGGAAAGTACCAAAAGTAAATATTAGCTCGAACACGGCATAAGCCTTAAGAGAGCTCCGTTTAAATATAGATCCTGACAGCTGATAAAGGCCGCACTACTTTAGTGATGTCACTAGCCGATTATGATAATACAATTAAAGATGTATTAGAGGAAAGTACCTACATTAAAATTAAACAAGATCCAACTAATACTTTGGAACGTAAGACTACTGCAATCATTGCAAATTCATTAATCCCTTAGAATGAGCAATTCCTAATTAAGCCAAGGGCTTCAAAACCACCTAGACTGTATGGGCTACCAAAGATTCATAAAATCGACATCCCATTACGACCCATAGTACAATTGGCTCTGCCACATATAAATTAGCAAAATATATAAATAAACAAATACAGCCCTACATCTGTAGGACATCTTCATCCATAAGAAATTCAGAACATCTTGTGAATGTGATTAAATATATAAAACTTAACCCTAATGATATTTTGGTGAAATTTCGATTTAAAGCTTTCGTGACTGCAGGGATTCATCATCTTGGTTCTTTCGGTAAAGTCACGTAGAAGGGAAGTAATAAAATAATAAAAATAAAACATAATAAAATAATTCTCACGACGTTTCGGCCACAACGCAAGCAGCCGTCCTCAGGTGAAGAATGAGACAATGCCAAGCTAGGAGCTTATATATAAGCTGCGTTGGAGGTGGAAGAGAGAGCGCCTTAACAAAAGAATGTGCATATGAAGAGGAATTTAGCATATACATGGAAAATGCGTAGGAGGTGGGCGGGGGGGGTTTCAAAGTCATATTATGCCCATGCATTATGCAGGATCAACAGCACCAAGGGGGGGTGCAGGGATTAGCAGTAACAGAGGAAAGGAATGTTAATGATATGTAGCTGCAGTTACTCAACAACCACGTAGAAAACTAAAGTATAAACTACATAAAAAACTAAAGTATAAATTGCATAGCACCATCAGTATACTTACTATACTCTACACTAAGCTGAGTTACTAACAGCAAGTAATACATTACAATTCTACGTCGTAAAAATTATATAATATGCTTCCATCTAAACTTTATTCTATTGTATCACACGAGCATATACCGTACTATATACTGCCAACATTAAATTATATACTGTATTGCTGTAAACCAACCTATACCTTATACATTTAATATAACACTATGTATTATTCTACCCACCCTAATGTGTGTCGAAATGGTTTATTACGTCCTTCCAATGATTGCTAAGCCAGAATCCATCTTCTCGGTTAAAATTGTCTCTGTGTTTGTATATGTGGATCGCCTCATGAACGAATCTCTCATGATAGCCAGATGGCTTGCAGAGAACCTCTGTCTTGGAGAAGTCAATATCATGTGAGCCCACTGAGTTGTATATTAAATGTATAAGGTATAGGTTGGTTTACAGCAATACAGTATATAATTTAATGTTGGCAGTATATAGTACGGTATATGCTCGTGTGATATAATAGAATAAAGTTTAGATGGAAGCATATTATATAATTTTTACGATGTAGAATTGTAATGTATTACTTGCTGTTAGTAACTCAGCTTAGTGTAGAGTATAGTAAGTATACTGATGGTGCTATGCAATTTATACTTTAGTTTTTTATGTAGTTTATACTTTAGTTTTCTACGTGGTTGTTGAGTAACTGCAGCTACATATCATTAACATTCCTTTCCTCTGTTACTGCTAATCCCTGCACCCCCCCTTGGTGCTGTTGATCCTGCATAATGCATGGGCATAATATGACTTTGAAACCCCCCCGCCCACCTCCTACGCATTTTCCATGTATATGCTAAATTCCTCTTCATATGCACATTCTTTTGTTAAGGCGCTCTCTCTTCCACCTCCAACGCAGCTTATATATAAGCTCCTAGCTTGGCATTGTCTCATTCTTCACCTAAGGACGGCTGCTTGCGTTGTGGCCGAAACGTCGTGAGAATTATTTTATTATGTTTTATTTTTATTATTTTATTACTTCCCTTCTACGTGACTTTACCGAAAGAACCAAGATGATATTTTGGTGAGTTTTGATGTGATTTCGATATTCACTAAGGTTCCAGTGAGCGAGTCGCTTAAATTACTTGATACACTGTTAAAGAATACAGGTTTACCAAAAGATTTCGAAACTCACTGACCATTGTTTAAATAACACTTCTTATGGAGAGGCGATTTCTTTAAACAAAGGGAAGGAGCAACAATGGGCTCTCCTTTATCACCTGCTATAGCAAATCTGTACATGGAAAACTTTGAAACAAGAGCACTTACCGAGCACATTAAAACCATCCTTTTGGTTGAGATATGTGGATGACACTTTGGTTGTCTAGCCACATGGTAAAGATACACTTAAAGATTTTCTAAACCATCTCAATGCACAAAACCCAGCCATCCAGTTCACCATGGAAATGGAGGTGAATTACACACTCCCGTTCCTGGATATTTAACTTGGACATGGCCTAAATGGTAAAAGAACACAGCGTTTACAGAAAGCAAACGCACACTGATGCCTATCTGAATGCAGATTCGCATCATCACCCAGCTCAGAAATCCTCTCTTATCAAGACGCTCATACATCGGGCTAAAACAGTGTCAGATTGTGAAAGTCTAGTGAGAGATTAAACATGTTAAAGAAGCACTAAGACAGAATGGGTACAATAATGCTCAAATTAACAGCACTAAATGCCAAATCACGATCGCAAAGCAACACTGCTGAAAGCAATAAGATTGTTAAAACAATTAAAATACCATATATCTCAGGAGTAACTGACAAATTAGCCCGTGTTTTGCAAAAGCAAAACATTACAGTAATATTTGGTACAGTACACAAAATTCTAAAACTAGTAACTTGCACTAAAGACGAATTACCTAAATTATCAACAGAAGGTGTATATCGGATTAAATGTTTATGTGGCAGATGCTATATTGAACAGATGGGGCGTAACATTAGTATAAGACTAAAAGAACACCAAATAAATATTAAACTATCTCAAACACAACTGTTGGCAGTGGCATAACATGCTTGCCAACAGGGACACTCAATTGATTTTGATAACGTTGAAGTGTTGTGTAAAACGAATTACTACTGGCACAAAACTAATTAAAAATCCATTGAAATTGAGAGAAACAGAAATAACTTTAACCGCTCAGAGAGTTACAGGCTTAGTGCGGCCTGGAAGCGTATTATTAAATAATACATATTACAATTCCTTATAGGGGAAACAAATACTAATTAATGGATTACTAACGTAGCATATAATTACCATAACACATTACAACTGATTACTAATCTACAACTCACATCGTAACAATCGCCTGATTACCCCCCCACCTCAAATCGTTGCACCTGATGAGTTAAATTATGGCGTCACCCTGCTGCTGCTCTATTTAAGACCGGGAGCAAGAGCAGAGCCTCACCATTCTGGCGAATTGCCCGATGATGCTGGATGCAATTACCAGCGAAACGTCGTACTCAAAATTTTTAAATGTGCTGTCACTCTTCAACACACCAGTGGGCTAAAGTAGTGAACTATTTGTCTTTTGTCAACGTGACACTTTTTTGCTGATTGGCCGTGTCGAGTGGTGGAGGGTTACGACACAATTATAAATAACGCGATCTGACCCAAAAACCTATATTATGAATAATATTGGTTGCGAAAGCCTACATGGCTTTACCGAAAGGCCCAAAGAATATTAATTTATGCATTTTTGCAAAATACAAGTAGTATTATTTTCAACACCCTTTGCTACGTTAGCTGAATTTTTCTTAAATAAATATTCCTTTCGTAGCTAGACAGCCTAAATTGTGTGCTTGGAGTTTTGGGTAAACATTCACTTTGAAGATACTAGGGCTTCCGGGCATGTTTCTGACAACTTGCCCTCATTGTGTGCCTTAACAGCCCATGTGATGAATTGGGGAATATTATGAATATATTAATACGTCTAGACGTGTAATTCACATGTGACTGTGTATGTATTCATTCCTCTGCCTCGATACTGACGTAGATGGTGTGGATATTTTTTTCTGTCTGCAGCTGACGCTTCCTCTGTCGCTTCCTCTGCAAAATTGGTCTGATGGAGCAAAGGCACTCGGCGCAGCTCGATGCAAAAAGGCAACAATGCGACCAGCGTGCATACAGCACGGATCATTCTGGACATTTGACACAGCACCAGAGAACTCACACAGGAGAGAAACCCTTCAAGTGCACTGTGTGTGGGAAGGCGTTTTCACATTCATCTCCTCTTATAACACACCAGAGAACACACACAGGAGAGAAACCCTTCAAGTGCAGTGTGTGTGGGAAGGCGTTTGCACGTTCATCTGCTCTTGTAGAACACCAGAGAACTCACACAGGAGAGAAACCCTTCAAGTGCACTGTGTGCGGGAAGGCATTTTCATGGCCATCAGCTCTTCAGACTCACCAGAGATCACACACAGGAGAGAAACCTTTCAAGTGCAGTTTGTGTGAGAAGGCATTTTCAAGTTCATTTTATCTTAAAATGCACCAGAGAACACACACAGGAGAGAAACCCTTCAAGTGTAGTGTGTGTGGGAGGGAATTTTCAGTTTCATTTTATCTTAAAATGCACCAGAGAACACACACAGGAGAGAAACCCTTCAGGTGCACTCTGTGCGGGAAGGCGTTTGCACAGTCATCTACTCTTCAGACCCACCAGAGAACACACACGAGAGAGAAACCTTTCAAGTGCAGTGTGTGTGGGAAGGAATTTTCAGGTTCATCACAGCTTGAAAGACACCAGAGAACACACACAGGAGAGAAACCCTTCAAGTGCACTGCGTGTGAGAAGGCATTTGATTGGCCATCAGTTCTTCATAGACACCAGAGGACACACACGCATCAGAAGATCCCCAAGGAGTGTAGTCTGCAATCGACTTGTGAAAGTCAAAGTGCTGCAATGAGCCCATCCCTCCTGAAAAAAGAACCAGAAGTAAATTCCAGCTTGGACACTATGAAATGTATCGAGGTGAAATTTGAAGAGACGAAGGTGAAATGTGAAGAAGTGATGGTGACGAGCAAAGAAGTGAAGGTGAAATGTGAAGAAGTGATGGTGAAGAGTGAAGAAGTGACGATAAAATGTGAAAATGAAGATTCAACTCCAAAATCAGACCTTCACATCGATGGAGGCAACGTGAAGCAGGAGGAGAATTCTGACTGTGAAGCAGAGCGTGGCAACTCCCAGCAGTTTGTGGAAGTTGAGGTGTGGGTGGACTTCTTAGACAATACAGTCAAATAGAGTCCAGGTAGATGTGTAATCTTGAGACAATTAAGTCCTTTTAATGAAAAGAATGTGAAGTTGAACACTCAATTTCTAGGTTCAAACCTGCAAAGTAAGAGCGGCCAGTATTTGCGGACCTGGGGGTTGGGTAGATCTCTATCCAGGAGTCACAGCCAATAAGCTCCCAAGTATTCACAATGTTTTCATAATAATATTAGCATTTATCTGGTGCTTGCTTAATTGCCTCAGCAACTCGGAGTTTTGTATCACATCTCATCACAAACACTTGAACAGCATGTTGTATATACAGGTAGTCCTCTACTTACGATAGAGATGCGTTAGGATGACCTCATCATAAGTTAAAAATATTGTAAGTCGAAGATGGCCTAGCCTACCCAGGAGTCTTAAAGAATGGTGATAATTTAGCAAAATAGAGCAATTTACAGTACCGTACTGTATAAACTATATACTGTACGTTTTTATTAATTACAATACTATGCTTGGTTCTTTCGGTAAAGTCACGTAGAAGGGAAATAATAATAAAAGAACATAAATTTTATTTATTTTATTATTTCCCTTCTACGTGACTTTACCGAAAGAACCAAGAATATGAATCCCTGCAGTCACGAAAGCTTTAAATCGAAAAATAACAATACTGTATTGCACAGTAAAATGTAAAATAAAAAACAAGGTAAATTCTTAGCCTACCTATATGAACTGCAATTTCATAGAAAGTTTTTTCACGAAAAATCCTATCTGCTATAAACATTCCTTCGGAGTGGGCAGGTAGGAACTTGGTTGGAGAGTGCATTCGTGCGATCCTTGTCACGCGGCGCAAGCTGCGTGGGGCGGTGCGTCACGTGGTGCTGAGCCCGCCCGAAGCGCTCCATGAAATACAAATCGAGGGCGTGGCTATGCACGACAAACAGACGAACGAATAATCCCTGGTGGGCAGTGTGGAACTGTTCCTACCTGTAAAACTTTTAACATGCATTGAACGTATGTATCGTATCATGGTAACCCTAAAATGAAATCGCTAAAGCTATGTATCATACATGTGTTGAGTAGTTCCAATGGACGTACTCGGAGACGGAGGTAAATTAAGGGCTTTCGCCAGGGTTTATTAAAGCTGTTACAATATTACACAGGGTACACAACTCCCAGGGGCTAGGGGTGCTACTCTGAGTCCGGGTCCCTGCCGGCTAGCTCCGGTCTCTCTCTCGTGTCGGATCGTGGACTCTGCCGACTCCACCGACCGGAGAGAGAAGCACCTCTACGGCTACCACCGGCTTCTCCCCAGACTCCCTATTCGATCCCTCTCTCTATCCCTGGTTCCCTCTTCACCCTGTTTACTCTACCCGTTCCCACAGTGACCCCGCTTACGTCACGGGGTATCCCTTAAGTACCCTAGGAGACGTGACGTCATGTGCACTGTCCAGCGCGCGTGACCCCATGTCCCTTGACGTCATCGCACTGGACAGCGCACACGACGCCACTACTCTCTACTCCTCTACACATGCATTGAACGTATCGTAACGTATATTGTACTGTACTCGTCAAGATTCTGTCCGTCTGCATACTTGAACGATGTTCGGTTGTTGATGGCTACATTAACTTCGTTGTCGGAAGAGGATGGCGATGATAAAGTACAGTATCGTACCTCGTACGCTGCAGCGTTTGCCTGCCGCGCAAAATGTAAAATATTTAACAATTTTGTTGTATCCCCATCGTAAGATCGAAATATCGCAAGTCGTACCATCGTAACTGTAGGCCTTTTCCAAAAATTTATATTAAGAGTGATTCTGCCTATTTTGTAATAATTTTGATCGGGATGTAGCACTGGGGCACGGAAAGGGTGAGTCCCCCCCCCACTGCCTCCTCCCTTGCCACACAAGACAGCTAGAGGATAATTACTCACAAGCCTGCTGGGGAAGTCATAAAATGTAATAAAAAAACCGGCAAACCCAAGGGGGGCTAATGAGATTCTGCAGGTAATCCCCGGTTGACTTCAAGAGAAGGTCGCCATAAAGGAAACAACCCATAATAAAACAAACATAAGACGGAAACAGCAGGGGTCAAGAACCTCCCTTGGACTGTGAAATCCACCGAAGTGCAGTTAATCATTATGAGCTGATTGGGTTTTTTTAAATACAACAGTAAGGTTTGAAGCTTAGTTATATATTCAACCTCAGGAGGGGCCTCCCCCTAATATATCAAATACTACTCAAGAATTCCAAACCGTGACGTGAGTGCTGTGAACTCTGCTCAAAACGTACTTTGAGTCACTTGCAGAGTCAAAACTGCAGAAAGTGGTACGTTTCCAAGCTATAAGTATACTTTTTTTACTTTCAACCCGTGATGAGAGGATGAAAAACATGGCGAGAGCAAACACACCAGTGCACAATAGGTCATGACTTCAAAGTCAGTGCCCCTTTTTGAGAGACCGCAAGTCTGATGCGAAAAAAATTTAACGCTTCCAACCCATGATGGGAGCATGGGGAACGCTACCCAAAATGTGAATGGAAACATGGCGGTAATATAGACATCCGGACAACAAACAGCCCAAGTGACTTCAAAAGGCAAACAGCTACCCCTTTGTGAAGAAAAAGCCTGAGGTGGAAAAATTCAGATAAGCAACAACATTAATCAGTACTGCTCAAAGAATCACCTAACTGCTACTGTGGAGAAATCCAAACCATCGAGCACATGACCGATGAATGCTCCATCCATGCACATCCTGGCGGTATCGCCGAAATCCACACTGTCAACCACATCATAGGACTGGATGAGGAACCTTTGCATTCATTTATGACGATCATTAAAAATAAAACTGTTGCTTTCCACAATGCCATACGAAAGATGAAGTACTGTGAGCGGCAGGCTCCTGGGATTGCCCTCGTGACTGGAAAATTCATAGGGAGCCCTGCATCGGCAGAAGCCACGCATCACGGAGAGTATTTTTTTGCATCATTGAGAGAGGCTGCCAGCCAAGGCTGGTGCTTGCAGTATTACAATACAAACGTGGGGAAGAGTGCCGTAGCATTACTATTCCCGGTGGCGAGGTCGCTGTGTACAGTCAACACGATCATAGTGACAATCGTTCCGATTATGCTCCGATCAAAGTCAACCCTTCGAGGGAAAACTGGTGCAACCACTATTCATGAGAGTGCCCCTTTAAATCGCAACCCACAGGCGAAGTTTAGTTGATCTGTAGCGTATCTTCTGCAGCACGAGTCGTACAGACAACTGGAAGAGGACTCTCTTGAAGAGGGGGGGGGGGGGAGACGACAGGTGCTGTCTCTCCAAGTCGCTCCAAAATCTACAAGGATCAACAGTGTCTGGTGCCAAGGGGGGTGACATGCGGCAACCAGCGGACGAGCTGAGAGCGGTGTCTGGTGACGAGATAATCGCGCACATCGACGCAGACCGAGCCGGACCCATCATTCCTGCCCGCACGGGCACCGCCGATATTGTGGCCAGCGTGCCGACTCGGCAACCACCCCAGCAGTGGAGAGAGACTGACGAAGCAGTCAAGAGCGCCTTGTGTTTGACACACTTAGACCCAGCGCCACTTCTGAGGACCTGAGGTATTTTAGGTACAAGAAACGCAGCACTTTGGAAGCTGGTTACTCAACAGTTAGCAAGAACACACACACACACAACGCACATATTGGTACTAATAATGTTGCTCCAAGATGTTACCTTTGTGTTTTGGAAAGGGTTGCCATCCCAAGGTGGTGCATTTACTATTAGCTGATCATGAAAAGCATTGTTCTGTCCCTTGAGTTCTATGAATACGGTCGTTTAGAAGTAGTTGGCAGTCGTTTTTGTTAATTGCATAACCATACCAATGAGTTCATTGATGACACTAAACATAAGCATCTCACAGGAATACTATTGTGTTTTGATCACAGAATCTTGCCTGCGAATTCATTGATGTTCCATTAGCCAATTGATAAGCACTCACACTATTGTTTCAAGACATTTAGTTAATTGCATAATCTTACCAATGAATTCATTGATGTCTATTTTTGCCATTGGGCACATGTTTCTTTAGCACGTTTCGTATGAATATTGTACTTTTTTGTCAAGGACTTTTCCTATCGCCGTGTATGATCGCGGTGCTCTGAGGAGTTAACCTATTGTTCTGTTACTCAGTTTTAACAAACGTAACCATTGAGGGTTAATTGTAAGGATCAATGAGTAGAATATCTTCAGAAGTATGGTGTTGACAATTCCGACCATAAGTGTGTTCACATATTAGAGTGTTTTTAGATATTAAAGTTGCTAAACATAGAGTCTGAGTGGTTCCTCCTAAGTTCTGCATAATAATCGTAATTATATTATAATAACTATCCCTTTTGTGAGATCTGAATTCTGAGACCTGATAGAATTGCACTAAAACAAAATCAGTTAAAGTTTAAGCGAGAATCATTGTATTATCACGATTGGTAATACACCTGAGGTGACGAAGCCGAGCCTTATTTGCATACATTTACAGAATTCCATAAATTTGCATAATTTTCTTAAAATACACATTTTTGTTATTGTGTAGTGGGTTCAGCTGAGTCGCAGGCGTACTCTTTGGAGGCAACACATGGGTTAATTGCCCCTTAACAGGATAACCTATGGTGGTGGACCACCAGGCTAACTGCACTCATTACACGGTAACTTGCTACACTGGACCAGACCCCAGCTTGGGTCCCGGACCACGTGTTGGAGACTCTGTAGGACGTAGAACGTACAGAACAATAGGCAACAAGGGAAGAGAACTAAACGCAGTAACACGTGAACGCTCGGAACCCCCTCCATCACCAACATCTCCCACCCTCACCGTGTAACAACACCCGCAAGCACAACAAAGGCCAGAAGTGTCGGTGCATGGGGATCACGAAAACCGAATAGTTTTTGATCGAGTCCTTGTGGCCGGACCCCCAGGGGAGGTGGACTCGCTCTCCCTGGAGGTCCAAGGGGGAACATGCAAATGTCCCGTCGAAGCTGGCTCCTCACGAAGAGCAGTCGGCCGGGCGTATAGGCTGTACTCTCTCGAATACAGTGGAGACAGCGCAGGCGGCGGCTCGGGGGACGTTAAACGCACGGCACCTGAGGACAGGATCACATGACTCAGCAGAGGACCAACCTCAGTGGGCACACACCTCAGCTAGCCGGACACATCTGACACTCGGCCTCTGCGGTGTGGAGATGGAACGAACTCACGCGGAGCGATGAAAGGCTTGAGGTGTGAGGGATGTACAAACCAACTTTGCTGACCCAAGTGAATCTGAACACACTGGTCGAACGACCAGAATCGCATCAACCGGCCCCCTCCAGGGTTTAAACAATTTGGGCGACGTACCCACCGGTTCCTGTGGAACAGTGCAACCAGGCTTTGTCCCCTGGCACCCACTCATGTGCGGAAGTACGCGAACCCCTTAGCCGCTCATTTTCCAATTGACGCGAATTGGAATTTACTCTGGAAGCCTCCCACGATTCGGAAAGCTTCTAAAGGGTAAAGCGCACGGAGTC